GACTGAGGGAGGGGGTTGAGGGTACAATGAAGATACAGACTGAGGGAGGGGATTGAGGGTACAAGGAAGATACAGACTGAGGAAAGGGGATGAAGGTACAAGTAATATAGAGACTAAAGGAGGGGGTTGAGGGTACAAGAAAGATACATATTCAGGGAGGGGGTGATGGTACATAGAATATACTTACTTAGGAAGGGGTTGAGGGTACAAAGATGATACAGACTGAGAGAGGGGGTTGATGGTACATGGAATATGCAGACTGAGAGGCTGGGATCGAGGGTACAAGGAAGATACAGACTGAGGGAGGGGGTTGAGGGTACAAGGAAGAAACAGACTGAGGGAGGGGTTGAGGATACAAGGAAGATACAGACAGAAGGAGGGGTGTCGAATGGAATAGAAGCAATATACAGATGGTTAATTATTGAGAAAAATGTAATTGAGGATTTTGGGGGCGATTACCGACGTAGGGAATTAGACGTGAAAAAAGGTTGACGACTTGACCCAATTAGTTCAGTGTAAGAGTCGATTGACACGTATAATCCGTACTTATAGGATTACTGAACAACTCGTAACAAGTCTATGTAGGTTTAACTGGGCGATCACAAGTAACTTTAAATATAAAGATCATGCATGGCATTCGATAGTATGTGATATAAGATGCTTGAATACACACGCCGAAAAACTATTCAACTCCGTCAGAAATTTAAGTAATGAAGTTTGTTAGCTGATGATATTTACTTGTAGGATCCCTCTCAAAACTATTTTTGTGTATGCAATAAATATGTAAGTTAGACTCTTGAATTTACTAAACCCTGATAAGTTGGTTTACTTGATGAATCTCTTTCTAAATCTCTGGTTCATTTTCTGAATCACTTAATCACTTTCTGTTTAAATCAAAGATTCTTTTATACTGAATTATGGAATTGTTTTCTGCACCGATACATTATTCTCAAATAAATATTCAAGTTTTGTTATGAAGCCGTCGTATTGATATCCGTCACTTATAACATGATCATAATCTACATAAAGGCTTCTTCAGTGCATTTATCGTCATTATATAGATACATCAGTTCCGTCTTTGTGTATTGCAGAGTTATCTTCTCATGTGAGCAGGTATTGATTGTTACGTCATTGTTTTGTGTGAGAAAATTACGTCGTTTTCTCAAAAATTGATGACGTTAATCTCACAAACAAACGACGTAACAATCAATACCTGCTCACAAGAGCAAATAACTCTGCAATACGCAAAGACGGAATATATATTCCGTTAAGTAGGGTTGGGGAGGGATGGCTCAACTCACGAAGTGACATATATTTTCGAAATGGCATATATTTTAACAAGCATCAAGTCACTGTTTTCCCCCGGAAATGGATAGAAGTTGATCCAGATCTATGTACAGTATCAATTGTATAGATAGAACGGGATTAAACAGTATCTAGTTCTTCTCCGATTCTCGTCGTTTCGTTCTTTCTCATATTTATGTGAAAGGACGAAATCAAAGAAGTTTCAAATATACATTATCGATATGTTTCGCCCATGACAGCACGGACAGGGACATGCTAATTAGGCACAGTACGTATAGGTATACTTGGACCAATCCTGCTGTGTAGTGAGTGCTATTTGACATGGTTAGATCAGCTGTTGATTAATACCATGATCACTCGGGCTGACACTTTACAAGGTGTTGATTTCAAACTTCCACAAGTCTGTCACACGTGTCTGATGGTCCAAACACAATGAATGCAGAAAAACTCTCAAGTCCCTGTGTATACAAAAGTGAAAAGTACAGTTTACACTATATCCGTCTCTGATATATTGTGTATTGTGAACGGTTTCTCAAACACATCTCTTTCTCACGCGATCGATGTATATCATCATAGATATATTTGCTCTTACATGTACAGTCAATAATCGATGTACAATGTACTATTATATATATATATATATACAAAGCCGTATAGCCGTTCTAATAATAGTGTCGTACATTTTATTTTTAAAGTAGGTTGTTTCCAAAACACTGATAAGTATGTACTGTAGGTAACTACCAGCGTAAGGAACAGTTAATGTTGACTTCCGTTCACAGGACTGTTCTACTCTAAATAAACCTCTGGGCCCGTATTCATGAAACCGTTCTCATACTCAGACATTGATTTTGTGCTCAATCCTAATTTCTTGTTCCCGTTATAAATTTATAAAAAATATCGTGTTTTGTCAATGATTTGAGAAAAAATGGGAGAATCTGAAAGCGGAATATTGTTTTCAATGTTTATAATTATGTGACTTTTTGATTGTTTGACATTATTTAAGCGAGTTGCAATGAAGTTAGTTTGAGCACAGAATCCCTGCTTGAGCACGAGAACAGTTTCATAAATACGGGGTCCGTTTTCATGAAACCGTTATCGTGCTTAAGCATGGATTTTATGCTCGTCTGATTTCTTGTTCCGATTATAACTTGATAATAAGGTTTTATTTTGTCAATGATTTGGAAAAACTTTGAAGAGATTTAGAGTCGAATACAGTTTTCAATGTTTTCATTTGACGTTTTGATAGTTTGATATGATTTAATTGAGTTACAAGAATGTTGGTTTTGAGCCCAAAATCCTTGCTTGAGCATGAGAACGGTTTCATGAATACGGACCCGAGTCCTGTGCCCCGTTCGATCTCGTTCCATCCTATCCGAGACGACCTCTTAGCAACACTCGGTTAACATTTATATTTCGCAAGGTATATTAAGTCTGCAAAAGTCTGGCTTTTCCTATTTTCATAACAATTGAAAATACGTTTACATCGCTATATCGCCAACCTTCTTTATGTTACCTCGCTATATCGCCAACCTTCTTTATGTAATCTCGCTACATCGCCAACCTTTCTTTATAACGCCATCATTGTACGGGCGGCAGTATAACGAGGTTTACCTATTCATATTTACACTCTTATTTAAACTGAGTTAGAATAAAAATAAGCAACTCTACTGAAGGATGAGAAGTGATATTAAAAATATCCACGAACCTGCGGAAATGCCCTTGTGATGATAATATTCTATTATTTTAAATCCACCTTGATCATCTCCAAGTGTCGGAAATGATGTTCATCAACTGCTGACAGTCGCATGGAAGCGTTTTTATGTTCGAAGTTGCCGACTTTACATTATTGATAACTCTGTCTGAAAGTGGTATAGCAGGTGATAACTTACAATCGATTGGTAGAAAATCCTGTTTTAGTCTTTTGATAACGTTCGTTCACACATTAAAAGAGTAATATCGCTAGCACTTCTCGAAATAAACATGAAATGTCCATTCCAGGATGTTAATATGCTCAATAGCGCGTGTCCTGAAGATTTCTCACCGATATGGACACGTGTAATTAGAATTTGATAATGCGTGCATTTAAATTATGTATCAAGACGTGCCGTAATACTATTACAAAATAGCCACGTTCATTTCAACATGTTGGCATCACTCGTAACATATCTCCTGAGGATTCGTTTACAGGTAATTGACATTCCGATTGCGTAACACGAAATGTTCATTTCAAGTTGTCGATATCATCCCAAGGGTGTTTCATGTGGAAATATCTGCACACAAATGTAGGCATATAGTGCAAATGAGAAAACAACTGTTAATACACTTAATATTTAGATCATTTTTTTCATGCGCGAGTTTTTTTTACCTTTGACCTGCGTTATGAACATTAACCTATGTACATGAACTTAGAACTAAATGAGACATAACTATTGTTCATTTTCGGAAAATACTACTAAAAAATCACAAAAAATGTACAAAAAGTATTCATTTCAAAATGTTGGTATCAATGACAGTGCGTTTTATGAAGATTATTTCAGGTGAAATATGAACCCTTAAAGTATTACTATACTTTGATGAGAGTGTGGTCAAGATCACTCTGAAGTCACACGAAATATACATCAAAGACAGCGCGTTCTCTGAGTTTATATTTCAGATATGAACACTTCTAATTAAAATATAATCTGTCAAGAACCAAGACATACTTAATTATTTTCTGTTGTGTCAGAAAACCCGAAATGAATTTTAAAGGTCTATCAAGCCTGAATGGCCCCGATATACAATTTTAGGCAGGCGATAATACCATGAATTTAAAAACCGCGTTTGTAACTCAATATAATATACATGTATGCTACTATTGACAGATTAAATAGTCTCTTTGAAATATGTTTGCGTCAAATTCTTTAGGCAAGATAATGATACACTTTGACAAAACCGGGACACGCCTCTATACCGAGAATCGACTGTATTATTTATCATGAGAAAGATCAGGAAATCTCCGTACCCATTGTGTTAAAAGTTAGCTTCGGCCGAGCTATTCTTTTGTAGAAACGCGAAAGGCAATTTTTCTTCTTTGTGCTTCTGTTTGGCAGATTTTTGTTAAAATGTTATAGCCTACAAAAAGCACCATTGGTGTATAATAGTGAGACACGTTTGTCAACAGTTTGTATGATTGACTTCCGGAAGTGTGTGTGTGACACCTTGTTAGTCCGGACAATTGGGTTTGACCTGGTTATAGTCCGGAACATTGTATGTGTACATATACAACCGATTAGATGTCACAATTTTGTTTGGCTTTATTATTCCTTCAGTTTGTATCTGTAAAGTGACACCTTGATATTCCGGACAATTTCGTTTGTATTCCTGTTTCTAAACGATTGTATGCGTAAAGTGACACCTCGTTAGTCCGGACACTTTGGTTAGAATCCTAAATCCGGAAGATAATATCTGTGAAGTCAAAACTCGTTAGGTTCAGACATTTTGGTTTGGCCTCGTTATTCCGTAAGTTTGTATATGCAAAGTGACACCTCGTTAGTCCGGAAATTTTGTGTCGAATGAAACGAATAACGAATGAAAGTTCCGGGTAATCAAAATCCGGATAAAGTAGGGCTCGGTGTAATAAAACAGATACATGTGAGATAATTCTACCGGCACTGAAATAGTAGGAGGGAATAATAATTGTTTTTTTGTAATTTCAGGGCCAACATGGATCCTGCCTGGGCCAGCAAGTTCAATAATTCCAGCAAGGAACGGGAGTATTTGGCCAGGACAGCATGGCTGCTTCTAGATGCCGGAACATCCGCTCTACGCACCGTTTTCGATAGCGTACATCCTCCGTTAAATCTCCGGGACCATCTCGCGCAGGCGCACGTGCGATCAGTGCTTGTCCGTCTTCATGAAGAACAAAAAGTATTGACAGATAACCAATGGAAACTGTTGTATCCTCTGAAGAAAAAGCACGTGCTGTCACAGAAATATGACAGCCACCTACTTCTGACTCTGTTACAATCCGTGTGTCATTTGTGTCCTCCCTATCCTAATGGCTGGCACGCCCTACCAATGTCGACCGACAGTAGCCTCGCAGCCGATATCGTCCGGATGCAGCTCCTCTACCAACAGGTGGCGTCTATGGGTAGGTCAAAGTTCAACCTTCATTTTAAAACAAATTCATTGCTGTTTTCCCTCATTTTCATGTCAAATATTGGAACAGTCCGCTTATGTGACATGCAATTATTTTCCTTGAAACAATATAAGATAATTTGCATTGAGCACTGTCCAGGCACCACTATGATATTCATAACAAGTTCGGGAAATTAATTTAAAAAATCCCTTTGCATCACACTTCATAATATATGAAGCGACTGGCATGGTGTGATTGCCCTATATAAGTGAGGGGTTTCCTCTTCCCCTTCTTTGATTGGCGGTACAGTGACCTGAATACAAATGATGCATATTTTGACCTATCATGAGTGCAAGGAGTATTGTTATTATCAGAAGTTGTAGAGGCTTGTTTAAGATCAAGTTGACTTGGTAAAAATGTCATCTCTAAATGATGGTGTTGATCTAAACATGATACACCTTACACATCAGTATAGGTCCAAAGTATTTCCTGTGATTGGTGCTCATGTCTCTGTGTGATTTGAGGAGCGGTGGGGGAAGGGAAACGAAGTTGTCCAAATTTATGTCAAACTTTCCTCTACAGTTTAAGTGGTAATGTCTTTCATTGTCTTAAATGTATGTGTTGCAAATATGTACAATGATAGCATAGCTCATGCCTCACAAACTCACAAACCACAAACTCACAAACTCGCAAACTCACAAACTCACAAACCACAAACTCACAAACTCACAAACTCACAACCCACAAACTCACAAACTTACAAACTTACAAACCACAAACTCACAAACCACAAACTCACAAACTCACAAACTCACAAACCACAAACAGATATATAAAGCAGGCAATAAACATAACTATTTATAATTCCCACAGAATCGATGGCGATAGACGAATATACCCGAATTTGGCGGCAAGCGAGTGAGGTGCTCTTCCGGTTAGGCGGTCCCCCCATCCGGGTGAAAATACATCGAATTGAACACGAGGTCATGACACCGGAAATGCAGACGCACTACATCACCACATTTATGACAGCATGGGGAGACGGGCGGAAGCTTATCTCTTCACCCAAATCAGCCGACTCACTCCGGAGAGCGCGGAGGAATCGTCAAGCCAAACATAGCAACGATCAAAATGGTGAGATTTCATTTTCCTTTTAAAATTGAATTATTTTGACATATAATAACAATATATAGATTGAATTCAAATATTTGAAAAATATAATTGGTATTCATTGTCAGTGTGGTAGAAATAATTGTATCACTGTGTCTCTCCAAGAGTAACACAAAAATGTCCGACCATTAACTATCCACAATTTATTCAAAGGCCATATTATGTCTGTTATTCAAAAAACAAATGCGCCTGTTATCAAATATGTTTAAAAACTGCCATGTTTATTCATCCGCTCGTCTGTCATGCCATTCCCGATGTTCTTGTGTACAGTATATATGTCCGGACGTCCGATCATTCAACATCCTCGTATACTACACATGTCAGTTTGTCCTTCAAACTTCTTAAAGCAACTGAAAAATCATGTCTGTCTATTCGTCCAACAGGTTTATCACCAGAAGACAAAGCCGTTTGGAGGAAGGTTCACAAGATGTTAGTAGATAACATTGTAGCGGATGACCTTCTGGACAGACTTCAGCAGAACCAGGTAATCAAGTTCAGCGACCGCCAGGAAATCCTTTCCATCACCAAGAACTCCGAGCGGATGGTCAACCTCCTGAACAAGATCCTGAACTCGAAAAACTCCACCGCGTTCAAAGCGCTTCTCGAGGCAATGAAATACAAGTACAAGAAGATACACGAAGAGGTCGTGCAGATCCGAAAAGAAACTTACAAGAATGGCGTCCGGGACAATGTGGGTAAGTGAACTGGAAATAGTCATATATATGTCACAAGCCTTTGGTAAACTATGGAATACCTGCAAAGAACATGTTTCACTGTACAGCGATTGGAATAATGTAACACGAAATATTGCATACCACCATTTTTTCCTATATCTTTGTAGACTGGGTGTTGACTGAAACATGGTCATGTGGAGGTCGATGGTATGCGATTAGATTCGATGTTACTATTCTTAGAAACATGAGGTTAATATTCTCTTTATGACGTCACTTCAATCGTAACGTCATAATGCTCGCTTCCAAATGCAGGACTTCTTTCTTCACGATTTCCATACAATCCACCTTGTTTAATGATAAAATAAGCATCGTTTGTTATATTCTTATATGGACCAATATCTGTTACAGGTCCTTATAACCACATACTTATTATTCACCTCAACCGAAGTTCGTTATTGATAAATAAACTAAAATTCAACGTTTTTAATGTGAAACATTTTGATTGGCTTACAGATGTAGTGGGCGTGGTCAGTGAGGTCCTATGTAACCACTACAAACAGAACTACAACAAGTGTCAGCCTTTCCCTTGGAACGAATCTGTTACCGTCAACATCCGGGACATCTACACACCGCTAGACATCCTAAACTCGGACGGGTAAGTGCGTGTGTCCTTATCAAAGGAGGCCAAACAAAATAATCTTGCGTTGGAAATAAGGCCACACAAGATAATAATGTGAATAGGCCAGGCCATCCAAATCAATGTTGTGTTGACATATAAAAGACCAAAAATAAGCTAACATTAACAATAACTGAAAATAACTACATATATTTTTTCTGTATGAAGATAAAAATAAATATTGTATTCAATAGTATTTCGTTTTCGGTTGTTTAATAGGGTATTCATATAGTGAAAACAATACCCATGTTTTATTACTTATTTATTTAGGTAAAAACTAATGTACATTCTGAGTGAAAAAAAAAAATCTATTACATAATTTTTTTGTTACTAGCAGGCATGAAACGTCGTTTCATATTATGACTTCACAAGCACGTCACACTCCATCTTAATTACTAATTTTTAGCTAATCATAAGTACGAAGTCGCTGCAGCACAAATAAAGCGTAATAAGGGAAAAACAAGACGAAACGGCTATGTCTTTGAGACAAATGTCATTTTAAATTCGTTTAGTGATAAATTATTAGTTTATTGCTGCGTTTAAAATATACCTGAACCGGATAAATGACTGGTTTATATCAAACATACATCATGGTTATCAAATAAAAAAATCTTCCGATTATTTTTTTCAGAAAGAGGCTGCATCTTCACGATTTCTGCCCACCGCCGACCACAAATGGGCGTGGACCACGAGTGATGTTGGAAGGCGCAAGCGGAAGTGGCAAGTCCGTTTTATGTCAGACGGTGTCCTACCTTTGGGGGTCCCAGAAGTCTTTCTTCCGACATCGCTATCCCATCTTCCTTCACGTGGATCTGCAGACTATGGAAGGCGGCTTCTACGAAAGTCTTTACGAAAGGTTAATCCCCGCCGGATTTAGTCTCGACCTATCAGGATTCCGTAGCATGCTAGAGGAGCACTCGTATGACGTCATGCTGCTTGTAGACGGATACGACGACGGAAGTGACGTACCGGAACTGAAAACCATTTTGTCAGGTGAAAGCCTTCGACTTGCGACGGTCATCGTTGCTGCAAACCCTGAACTTATTTCTTCTGGTCATTTCACACCCGACAGTAAAATGTTCTGTATGGGATTCAGCCAGACCAACGCTATCAAGTGCGTCACGAACTTCCTCGAGCAATTCAAAGCCAATATCGAACACCACGAAGACTTCCTAGGCATCATGGCGAACGAGAAATGGGCGCTGAGACCTTATCTCAATCTTCCGATCGTAGTGTTGCTCGTGTTCGGTTATTATCAGACGACGAAAAAACCCAAACTTCTGGAAATTGAAACAGTGACAGGACTTTTTGAGTCATACGGCATCTCGATGGCAATGCACCTTTGCAAAAAGCAAAAGATTGACGTCATAGGGTACGAGTTCCCCGAAGACATCATTACCGGTGTGGAAAAGTTAGGAAACTTCGCTTTTAACACACTTCTTAGCAACCGAAAGGCTTTCGGAGAGGATGAACTTACACTGGAAATTGAGAACCCAAATGCATTCAAACTTTGTGCCTTTTCCAAATTCATGCTTGGTTCTAAGGTCAAGTTCCTGTGTGGACTTATGCAAGATTTTCTTGCGGCGAAACATCTCGCGGATTTCGTAATGGATGACATCGTCAAAACTATTAAAGATAATGGGATGACGAAGAAGCCAAAGTTCACACAAGTAGTGAGTCTGTTGTCCGGTCTATATAGATTTGATTACGACACATCTGTTCTTCGTGCCATTTTCACGGAACTTGCTGTACGTAACATCCGGCAGACGCGCGTGCCGACCGGACATGATACAGAAACATCTTCGTCAGAGAAGAAATTAAGGCCCCCTAGCGGACAAATCATGGATTTCAATACAAGTCTTCAGTCTCTCATTGAATGTCAGTCACGTGATGACGTGTGCAAAATCGTCGCGCAGTCTTTACCGCCAAATATCTTAGTTCGGCGAGAGGGGCTCATACCATCTAAATGTCTTTACGCTTTACAAAACGTACTTCGGTTCGAGGATAACCGATTGACGCACTTGGAATTCCATCTGCAGCCCATGTATATGTATCAACAAAGCCAGTTTAATGATATCGCCATCGCAGCTGCAAGAAACAAAAACCTTACTAGCCTTAAAGTTCAGTGGTCATCGCTTGACCTCATGTCCAAGTTCATGTGTACTTTTATGACGGAAACTGACCATATCGAGCATGTGACTTTAGAAGATGTGTGTAGAAAACCTTTGACAACTGTGCCTGCCTCTACATGGGCTGCACTGCAAACAACGTGTGAAAATATGTCAAAAGCGTCGCGCGTGTCCTTCATCAACTCCAAGGTTGCAGCAGTGACCTACTTTGTCCTTCAACACCTCCCGCACTCGGTCGAGGAGCTCGACCTGCACGGTTGCGCAATGAACATGATGTGTTCGAGCGAAATCAGCGGGAAACTTGAGAAGAGTACAACACTAGAAAAACTTGACCTGACAGGGGCTCATTTGTCGGGTTCCGAATTCGTCCCAATATTGCAAGGTCTAAAGCTGTGCAGTACCATCAAACACCTTAAGATGTGTGGCGCCAAGCTTGACCGACTGGCTGTGGACGCGCTATCCGAGTGTCTCAAGCTGACCAGGTCACTGCAGGTACTTGACCTTAGCGAATGTCAGCTGACCACCGACATGTGTCAAAAACTGGCTGGAGCCATTGTCCAGAACCGGACACTTCAGAGACTGGTGCTGAAAAAGACCAAAGTGACGTCAGAAGGTCGAGAGGCCATCTCGCATACGAAATTAGACCAGGTCAAGGTTGTCGGACTTGATGAAAATGTCCACGTGGTGAACGCAATGTAGTGCTCAAATGGTAGACTCCACGGCTTTCAATACGCTTATGTGCGAGACAACATGGGATATATTCACATATATATATTTACATTTGCCCCCGCGCCATCCCATTACAACAGTGTTAGAGGGCAAGTGTAATTATATAGGCTATAATTACAACTGCTCGACTATAATTACAACTGCCTGTTTCAGGTGTAGGAATATGTAAACAAACAAAATGGCCGCCTGAAATGTATTTTAAAGCAGGGCAAATGGTTTCTGTAGGAATATGTCTTAAAAAAGAAAAACATGTAAATATAAAAAATATCTGGTTGTCTGGATGTAATTATTGTTGATATAATTACAAGTGGCCTCTGGCATATCAACCATAAAACCCTAGCGGGTTTTATGGGATTTGACAAATAAATAACTTAATTATAAATGATAATCATGCGTCATTGATCCAGAATTCTGACATCAACTGTAACCTCGTAGCATATTAGTCAGAAGACGTTTGGGAGAACATAATACGGGTTACCTCCCTTGTTAAAGTTTCGACAAGGGTAACTATTTCTATCTCTAATGGGTATTGACCACCTTCAACAAGATGAAGATTCTGTTCCGGGAGAGATTAACAAATACACAGGGGAGAACTAAATAGATACGAGATAAATTTGGGTCGGAGATGGACAGTTAAAGAGTTGATGAAATTAAATTTACAAAGATGGGTGCCAATTTGAGCCTTCTGGTGGCTATCACCGATAAGTTTCATTTTTCTTTTGTATATACATACCTTGGGGTTATGCCATCATGATTTGACATGAAATTTAGGTCAGCTTGAAGACCATTCCGAGATATGAAGGGGTAAATTTGAGGACCAAAATCACAAATGGCCTCTTTTTGACGAAAACTACATGCTATTATCATGTGCATTAAAAGATGCACTTGCTTAATAAAAGAAATTATGAAATAAGATTCATTTTAAAAAGCGTTATTACCGCTTTTACGTAAAATACGGACATTGTTAAGTTTGATCGAGGTTGCCATATTAAGTTTTGTATATAAATGTATATATTATCTTTGGCATATTAATTTATTAATGCGTGATGTAGATATGTAAATAAAATAATGTAAATTAACATTACAAGCCGATAGGGTGTTCATGTTATAAAGATAAATGGTTACGCAAAGATTTATAAAGCACTGTGATAATTTGAGTCTGTGATAATGAAACTCGCCCCTGTATGTACATGTACTGTTCATTACAGTGACATATCGCTAATCCGGAAAATCAGGACTCTAAAAAGAGAATCCGGAATAACAAATATTCCAAATATTCACGGAATGAAACAGAAATCGCCGTGTGACGTCACAATATAAAGCAAATGTATTTAGCATTTAAGAATACAAGCGAAAAGCTATAGACAATAGTTTTCCGGATCATCGGAGTTTCGGGATTAGCGAGGTCCCACTGTATATCTTACACATTACTATATTACGTATATAACGTTTTAAATGTGGGAGGGTAACGTACCGGAGTACCCGGAGAAAACCCACGTGGTTGGACAGGTGACCCCATACCTTTTCACGCCGATTGGGGAATCGAACCTCGGTCGCCTTGATGAAATGCAAGTGTGCTGTCCACTACGCCACCCGACCACCCATATGCAAGATAACTGTTTGCGAGAGTTCTGTGATATGAAGTATATGGTAAAAGAATATGTATATTTGTGTAATAGGGAACATATTATTTATTTGCTCGCACAACGTTCAATCAGCATCCGTGCTAATTTTTATGTTTGCTGAAATCATTGGAACAATCAATGTTCATGAAAGAAAATCAGTCGGGATATTTATCATTGTAGTTATGTCATTAAAAAGTTCATCGGCTTTATCATTAATAGATTTCATTATAATTAAGTAACATTTTACAATTAATTTATTGTGGAAGATACCTTATATTTAAATTTACCTATTTAATCATGCAACTTAATTTCAATTTTGAATTATAGAACCCCTATTGTATTTAAAATATATTTATTTGCTATCAAATCATAAATAAAAGGTAGAAAAAAAATCACACAGTCCAGTTTCATATTATCGTTATTTGGTCAAATCACTCCAGCTGACACTGAAAATGGGAAACAAAATACGATCGTATACCGGTAATAAAGGGTTTCAGGATTACAGTAATATTTTACTTAAGGGTATATGCTACCTAACCGTGAAATTTACCTCGTTTTAAAAAGAGTTCCACTCTGATAGTTAGTGAATAACATGTTATGTCTATAATGAAATGTGATTCTGAACTATTGAATGATGCAAATCTGGTTTGTAGGCTTAAGGGAGATAACTCTAACACAAATCATACGCATAGCACACAACTTTAAAGAGAGATTGATCATATCTCATTGGAATGTTATACATGTATTATGAAATAAAATTCCAGATAGCACACACGCTATTTTTCGTGTTTGTTTTCTGTATTCAAAACAAACATCGATAGACAGTTATTTACGGTATGTAGAATTCGGTTGATTCAAATAATGTACGGTCTATACAGATATTCGCTCAGTAACCATTGTTCCCGTAACCTTGATTTTCATCATAATCTTCATACATCCTCGGGCCTTTCCGGCACACTCGTTCCGGATGTGACGGAAACGCCCGAAAATATCCGATGACCGATGCATCGCCATTTTCATACTTACTTTCCCCCGTCTTATGACGCAGTGTCCCATCTTGTGTATTAAAAGTGTGCAAAAAAAATCTGTGTTTAAGAAAAACCTAAAAGAAACACGAGGGTAGCTAGCATTTATTTATTTTTATATTCGTGCAAATATGTATGTATGCGAAATATCATTGTTTTACAAATTCAAATTCAAATTCAAAATTTATTTGCACCTTTGTAACTTCAAAGTAGTTTGAAGGCAAAATAGAAAAACACAGTAAAATATATACATAGACATGTTCATGTAGAAAAGTCGCAAAGTGATTGCTTATATATCTAATATACATTAACATGAACAAAATTAACATAGCTTCAAATAGAAAATTTGATTTAAAACATTTTTAGCTGCAAAGTTCATACCTTATACTGTCAGCAAGCCCACTCTCCTCAGTTCTAGAGACTGTTTAATGAATAAGCAAGAGTCCAGTATAAATTGGGAGTTGTTTGTAGATAATATTGAGGTCAAATAATTGGTATCTAAGGTAACATCATTGTGATTAGGAATGCATTTTTGGAAGTATTCTTTTCTGACAGATTCATTTAGGGAACAGTGAAAACAGAAGTGTACTTCATTTTCTAACACACCACATTTTTTACAGAGTCTCTGGTCTCTTGGTATATTTTTGAGACGCCCCATGGCTAGCTCATAACACTTGCGTTACATGAATATATTGAGAGAAGGCGTTGCTAAGTTATAATAACTTGTGCCTAATCCCTTTGTCTACTTTTGGTAATAAATATGTTTAAACGAAACTATTTCCCCAATCATAATGAAAAACGGCATTTATAAATAACATAATGCACCGGCACTTGATTTAGCCATAAAACAAAAAATTAGGATAAAAATCTAATTAGAAAAAGGGCCCGTCCGGATCCTGATCGGGACATATGTTTAGAGGCCGGCAACGTCCAGACCAGTCCTTTTTAAAAATATTTTTTTTTTGTTATTAATGTATTTATTCATTTCTAATGGCTAAACTCCAGTGCCTGTGAATATAATTTGTACATAAAGTTGATGTTATGATAAAAGTTCGGATTTCCGATGATTCGGGTGGAGTTTTTTTTATACAGTCCTAATTCTAGAAGTATCACGGAGGCCGATAAACGTTTTGAGCTTTGACTGAAATTCTTTTCTTGCAGCCATTAATAAAAATTCCCGTGAGTTCTTTTCCATAAAGACAACCGGTGTCGAGACCAGTACAAAATGGGAAACTCTGAAACCCTCGAACTGCATCATGGCCGAAATATACATGCTCTGGTCCCGGCCATTGCGAGGCCCACTGTTCTCCAACAAAACGAGACTCACTCGCCATCAATCTGTCGTCTTTTCTCTCAACATTCCTCATCACAATCATATCTGTCAGGTCCTGTTTTTCGATAGGAATGCCAGGAGCAAGACCCGCGTGAACGACCAACGCATTGCATGACGGGATGGATATCGTGTAAGGAAGTTCAGTCAAAAAGTCTGCATCTGTACCGGTTAAGCTCTTGCACCATTGGTACTTTGGCGGAAACACATACTCAGGGTCGTTTCTGCGGTTTAAAAGCTGTCTCAGCACAGCCTCGTCATGGTTGCCCCTTACTGCATATGTGTCCATGCGTTTGATTTTTTCGAGAACTTCTGTATTTTTTGGTCCCTTATTAATCAAATCTCCAACAAAAATAGGCAGAATGGGCCTGTCAGGTTCTAAGCCTTCAGCGAGACTTAATAAATCTAAAAGTTCGTCATAGCAACCGTGTACATCCCCAATCACGAAGACGCTTCTGTCCCGAATGACGTCATCATTCAAAACAAGATGGCAGTTTATCGGAAGTGGTAAATCGTATTTTGACCGTCTCTGAGCAGATCTTTTAAAGATAAACGAACAGATGTAGGCCACCAAGCCAGCCATCTTGGTATCTTTCTTGAACAATTAAAATGTGTTTCACACCAAACTGCTTCGTTTAGGAAGCCGTCGTTTTTTCCTCAGATCACTTTCTGATATTATTCGTCCATTATCTGGAAGAAACAAACAAAAAACCATATTAAAACTTAAGTTTTGAAGACTTGTCATTATCAAGAGAAGGAAAAAGAAAAAAGAATTATAAAGGACATCATACAGATATGGCACCAGTTTTTTTTCAATAATTAGATACATTTTGAAGCCTGTCATTCGTTTTCCTTCCTGTTAAATCAAAGTGAGCCTCATACATGTACATACAAATATGTCCTCGAATTCACACACAACATCTTACATTTCAATGTTTTCAAACTGTGTAACATAAAACCAAAAAAAAAATGTGTATAAAAGCAAATTATTCATTATAATTTAATTATGCAAGACAACAATACTGTTTACCTCAATATACATGTCGGTGTGTATGGTTTAGCATATATTACAAGGGTTCTTGATTAGCAGTGACCCCGTTAACAATTGTCCAGAAGAACAACAAAGATTTTTTTTAAATCCACTGCATTTCTATATACATGTAGCCTTTTATTTAATTTGCAATAGGCAACAATGCATTTATGCTTTACACACATTTAAACATGACAATGACATAATGGCAATAATAAATACATATTTATATGAATTTTATAGCAGCAAAATAACACACATTTACAAGGAACATATTCATTCACAATAGTAAGCATGAACACAGGATGCAATAGACTTTAACAAAAAACTGATGCGAAGCGAAGGATGCAAGGAATTAATTTGATTTACACATTAAACAAAATTCCATGTCTTATTTCATTTGCTTTGTAAATAAACATAGCTAAATTTCTAATAATAAAATTGTTTTTTGAAGAAACAAGTTCAGCAAATTTGTCCATATTTGGTCTACAGTAATATAGATTCTTCATAGATTTGTAAACCTATTGCATTATGCCATTATGAGATATAATTTCCATAATTATCTTATCATAATCATTTTGTTCGAACACGGAATTAATTGTTCAGGGGGGAAAAAATCAAATAATTATTCTATTAGTATCGATAGTTAAAACGCGAACACATTTATATCAATGACAACAGGACTTTCTCTTCTCTACTTAAAATTATGTTGTGTTCAAACTTCTGACGAATATTAACTAACGTTATCTCCCAAGCACGCCCGAGTTATCTTTCCTTGCATTATATTTCATATACATGAGTTGCCTCCCATTAGCGATACCTTTACATGTCTAATCACACAAGGTGTAATTGTCTAAGTAAAGAGTTAAGTTACCACGCGATTCGAAATGTGTCTCTGAATCTTTTTACAGATACTTTGAATTTAAACAAACGATTAATGAATATGAGACGGTAACAATTTACGTAACTAGGCCTAAGACATACATAACTTTTACAGGACACCTGACCTTGTCCAAATTATACGAGCATGCGTGATCATCACAACGTTTACACTGTAACAAGGGCGCTATGTTTAGTTCAACTATCACCGCAGTTTTAACTAAAATGACTTACCCGACCTCATAAACCCACGCAGACCAGGAGTACTCGTTCGAATCCTTGACAAACCCTACACCACTACAAAATGACCTGTAAACATTTCACGGTTCGACTAAGGGGATGTAACTCTCATATTCACCGGCTTGATAATGATAGTGAGATTTGTATGAGTGCCCGTCGTTATTCACTGGATGTCTTTAACTTAATAAAGTGAGTGTAACAAATGTGGAACACTTTTCAGATGTATGATGCTGCATTTTTATTCCGTAATACACATGAATGGTATCTACCTGTCAAATTGAAATTGATTCGTTTTTGTGAATTGGATCAACTTTTATCTGCCTGCCTTACAGATCATAGGTTCTTCATTAAAAATAAATTAATAATTATTAAAAATTTCACGGAAATACTACATAAAACATAAACAACCCATCACATCTCTGAAAATGAAAAAAATGCTGTTCAAATAATCGTTTAAATGAAAACATTACTAAAATTGATTAGAAAGTGTCAAAATCTACATGAAAAAAATACTTTAAATGTCGTCAGTTATTTTCCTTAACTATCTTATCCGTCATGGGATTTATTTTACTTTTGCGTGTTATTGATATCCTTGAAATACGTGGACTGATTTAAAGCTTATTGCAGTTATATTGTTTTATTATGTAAAACTTGCATTCCGTATATAACTGAACTATGGTTCATTTTGGGTACCCAAAAGCGTTAGATTTTTTGATGAGTAGCTAGGGTGTGATAGGTTTTTTGTCCTGACTTTTTTTATTGACGGAAACAATTTCAAATGCCTGTGACATATGGCCAGAAAAACCGGCCCAACCTTTCGAAGTCACGTACGTGTTTGATCCTTTCCCTTTTAACACTTTAAATTTAAGTATCAGATAGCTGTCGAAGATTTAATATATTTGTCAACTGCAAAAAGTATAATTCCGCTATTTTTCTTGTTACAAGAAGATGCTCATTGTCACCATTACTATATATGTTTATAGAATGTACGGTATTTTCGTTTCCTGCATTTGATGTAAAATATATATATAGAAGTGTACGTACAAGGAATTAATTAGATTTTCTTTTGAAATGTGACAAACATCTTTCATTCTTGATAAGCTACATCAATTCATTATTTTCACAGTTAAAACAGTGTTCTCTTTTAAGAACGAGCATAATTACATAACAGACATGCTTTATCAGAATTATGGGGGGGGGGAGGCTAAAAAGAGGGTTATTTTCTTAATTAATTTATACAGATATCTTTATAGGCATATTACCAGATTAGACAGTCTTTATATGTCTTCCTTACTCCTATGGTCATCACTTTAGCCACCCTTTGCCCACATAATTTTTGTTGGCGATTGATTGATTGATTGATAGTTTTTACGTCCGCTTCACTACCGAGTAGTTCGGTTATCCAGCAGACGATCTGTTGGCATAGTCGGTCTTTCTTTATACCGCTTCAAAATCAAGCGTTGAGGTGACAACGACTGATCAAGATTTTCGCGGGTACTGGCACTTCCGGAATAAACAGAGCTGTCTGACCGAGATGTGGTTTCTAACTTCACTCTCTAATCCAGGTAAATATATCGATAATCACACTAAACACGTGATTGTTCGTACATAAGGTAATTTAATGTAACACCAAGTTTAATCTGAATGCATGTCAGTAATTCATATGCAGAAGGCGTAGCATTTGAAAAGAGGTAATTTCGGACCGACAGCTTTTGGCAGAAAGTTCAGGTTCTGGTCTGTAATCAGGAAAGTCCTTTCGGATATAACGCTGATTGCAAACAGTCATTACTTTCTACTTACAAGACTGAAAAATACGAGGTTGCATTTATTAGAGGAGAACATTAAGAAACACTGAATTCAGTTAGTAAGTAATGATAATGTAACAGGAGAGGTGAAATGCACGGCCAGCCCGGGGTTCAAAACCGGGACCCTCCAAACTCTAGGCGGACGCTCTTACAATATATAGCTACCTTGTCGCTGACGATCGACCTAATCCAATTCCACTAGACAATTACTGATAAACCAGCCATGTTCTTTATACAGTATACACTCGTTAGCTATAATCTATCTCATATACATTGAAACAAAAAAAAACAAAAAATGACACTAGGTATATTTCAAGTTGATAAGCTAAATGGAATATAAGAAATTCAGTACAGTGGCCCATTTATATAAAATGACAAATTAGTAAATACATAACAAAATAACAATCTTATATTAATATGTGCAGAAAAATCCTATAACATTCTCAAAAGTATTGTCAATAACATAAAAGTTATCAGATTACCAATTCAGTGATAGATACAGTGTAGATACAGTTAGATTTGGTATTTCTCATAATGTGTTTGCTTGATGGGGATGCTAAAAACATGTGTGCAAGTATTAAAAACAATAAATGTGATATATATATACCTGGAATTTAATTAAATCATCAACATACATGAAGCTATCTGCTACAAGTCTATGACACTTCAATATTTAACATAAGTTTGCCAACAATCAATCAATGGACACGTTCAAAGTAATATTCCTCATTCCTTTCCAGATAAGCGATATGTTTTGTTAGTTGGGAAGAGCTATATTGTGGGCCGGAAGGACTGCGAGATCCTCGTGGAGAACGATGCTGCGGTCAGTCGTAAGCATGCCGAGCTCACTGTGACCCACCCAGAAACTAATCTGGTAAATTTATAAAAAATCTTTATATCTTTTAAACACATATATATATATCATTGCTGGACCATAAGCAACCTGAGTGTGGTGATCATGTTATCATTACAATTGTGACATACATAGATATTTTTTTGTGTGTGTGATGTCATATCCAATCCTGTCCTGATCGAACCTATATATATATATATGCAAGTTTAGATACCTAAACAAAAAGACATGCTATATCCCACTTTTGCATATGCATATGTAAGACTACTAGAGGCACCTAAACATCCTTATCTATTACATAATTTTGGATGTTAGTTGTTGTCATCTGAAAATAAGATGAAAATATATTGTTTGGTAATTTGTTGAGATATTTTAGGAGAATATACCTCTATTATCCTTTGGAAATAGCATTAGACCAAAGTTTGACACCAAACTGGTCCCAATAGGTACTCTGATGATATGTAACATACACTGAGAACAATGATAATGCTCATTGGACATAAAGGTATTGTTTTACAGTTACTACATATGTATATTATACCTTCTCGCATCATGATGGTGTCTTAAATTTGGAGCAAGCTGAAAGACTTGTCATATGACATCACCTGAAGTTCAAAAAGTTCAAATGTATCAAAACATATCAAATGTTGAATATTATTATTATAAAAAGTATTGTCGATAATTTTCAGAACAAACCTACATTACTACCCACATTGACCGTCAAAGATCTCTCCAAGTATGGAACGATGGTCAACGAGAATAAAGTTCAAGGTCAGGTGACAGTCAAGGATGGAGATGAGGTCGTGTTTGGGTCACCGAAGTCGGCATTCATGTGAGTGTATTAGATAAATATTAATTCATGGTTTATTGTTCCAGTGGCTATTTATAATAACTGTATATAGAGTACTCTCTTCGTTGTATTTTACATTTTTCCTTCTTTTTCCGAAAATCTTCATATTTAACACTATCTCTGAGAAAACCTTGAGAAAACACTGATTATATTTCATCATTTTTAGTTGATTTTTAAACTTGTTTTTTTTTTTTTAGATAAGATGATATTCTGTGATTTTATTAAATTCATTTGTAGTTTGTAAGAACACATTATTAGCCATATTATTAAGTTTAGAGTATGAAGTCTTCTTTTTATATCTTAATCAGAGCTGTGTACGAGCCACTTGTTGTTTCAACTTCCTGTCTGAGTCCGAACTTGAAGAAGCAGGTTCGCCAGACTGTGCTGCGGTTGGGCGGCCACATTGTGGCAGAGTGGTCGCGGCATTGTACTCTTCTTGTCATGACTTCAATCAGCGTCACAATCAAGGTAATGTATTAATTCTGTTGAATGGTCTTTTGTTTCAGTTTCTTCCCTGTTGCCATTATAAATGCATTAGTTTGATCATGATGCAAAAGTTTTAAAAAAAATCAATAGCAATACACAGAAATTTAAACAGAAATTTATTGTAAAATTTGTTAAGAGTGTTGATTCTTCCTAAAATGATTGGGTTTTCAGGTAATAGGTTTACTAATGGTTTAAAGTATCTAGGTAACATATTCAATCACTATGTAAATGTTTCTTTTGTCTATAAGCACCCCCTCGCCCCCCACCCCTACTCCCATAACATGAGAGGCCGCTGGTCGGCCTTTTTTCAATCGGATATGATTTTGCCGACTGCGACCTCTCATTTCTGAAGCACTAATTCTTTGATGCAGTTTACGCCCAAAATCCGGGCGGAACAAAATCGGCTTGAAAAACTCACTTAAGTGGTTAACCGTTCATGACAACGATGTCTACTCACGGGTTATATACTATAGATCTCATATGTCACAGACACAAATATATAGTATATTACGGAATAGAACACTCAATATACATGTCCATGTCGTTGTAGCACATCTCTGATCTACATTTAAAACATGGCTTCTGGATTAATACAAAATAGCAAGGGGGATTTCAAACGGAACGAAAAGATACAGAGTTTGTTTGTATTCCGCCTGTGAAACATTACATGTAATCCATTTTTGTATTAACCGGAAAAATCATGGCAAATGCTGTCTGCTTCGCTTCGAATGAGGAAAAACTCATTATTTATGTCTTTGACACGCAATTTTTCTCATATAATCATGGATTTATGGAAAGGAATATTTATTGGACCCTTTTGACCATTTAAATGTATGTAAACACGATATACTCTTTCTTAATCCGAACTTTGAAAATGTGATCGTCAGCATCGGGAAAATCAGCTATGGGCAGTTAGAGGTTACGCGGTGCCTGTCAAAAGTTTTTCGCCGTGTTAAACCTCTAACATTGTTGGAGTACCCCCACCCCCACCCGCCCATCAAACAGACCCCAACTCAAATACCTAGATATTCATTTTTCTAAGAGAAGCATTTCATTCTGACATGTTGATGCTGTGAATGTAATACCATATCTATGTAATAAACTTCTCTTTTTTTATAAGCACCCATTGTGCTTTATAGAGTTATTATGGTATTTTTCTTATGATCTTTAAAAGGTGGTGTGTGCCATGGTCTCCCTGAAATCGATTGTCTCCCCTGACTATCTGGACGCCTACCTGCAATCACTGGAGACTGGTAAAGAACAGCCAGATGCTGAGAGGTAATTGTAGATTGTGAACAGGATAGACATTTTACACCCTGCAATCCCTATATGTGTGCTCATAAATATTATACACACATTTAATTTTAATTTCATTGTTTTTGTTGGTTACCATAGTTACCTGTAGAGTTGTTAATGTTGGTTACAATAGCTACATGTAGAGTTGTTTATGTTGGTTACCATAGCTACCTGTAGAGTTGTTTATGTTGGTTACCATAGTAACTTCATTATTTGTTTGTCAAGGTTGGCATAGCTACATGTAGAGTTGTTTATGTTGGTTGCCATGGCTACCTGTAAAGTTGTTTATGTTGGTTGCCATAGCTACCTGTAGGGTTGTTTATGTTGGTTACCATATTAACTTCATATTTATTTGTCATGGTTTCCATAGCTACCTGTAGCGTTGTTTATGTTGGTTCCCATGGCTACCTGTAAAGGTGTTTATGTTGGTTGCCATGGCTACCTGTAAAGGTGTTTATGTTGGTTACCATATTAACTTCATATTTATTTGTCATGGTTGCCATAGCTACCTGTAGAGTTGTTTATGTTGGTTACCATAGTAACTTCATTATTTGTTTGTCTTGGTTGCCATAGCTACCTGCCCACTGTGTCAGAGTCTCAGGTGGATCCGACTGAAGTCAGTTTCACCAACAATCCTGAACGCAAGAAAATCTTCCAGGGGAAAACTTTCATATTTCTTCAGCAAAAACAGGTATTGTATGCTGTGGATTTTGTAGGATCTTTGTCTTTGAGAAAATGTTTTCTCTAAAGTATTTTTGATCTGTAGGTATTAAACACAAACAAAAAACACATTTTCTTGTCAGCAACACAGTGTTTTTACCCCAAATTTTACAACAGCCTGGTCCTTTATATATTGGGAAAATAATACATTATTTTATTGAAATTGGGAAAATAATACATTATTTTATTGAAATTGGGAATACATTCATCATGTTTTGATCATTTTGGAAAAATAAGGCACTTTTTAGCTAAGGGAAACAGCCTGTATTCGGCTGTTAAACTGAGCAAAACATATCACTGCAACATCATATCCTGTTAGTTATATCTAGTCAGTTATGTCTTACCTAATGAGTAAAACCCTCTGTGATTCAACTTTATGTAAATTAGACTTCAGTATTGTTGATTGACTGTGTATGTTTTAATTTTTGCCCCTGAAACATGGCAGAAGAATCTTAAAGCGTTTTCCTTTTCTGTTGGTCTCTCCATCAGTCTGTATGACGTCCTGGGTAGACTTAGCATTAACTAGCTCCGTCTCTCAGACCCGCTCCGTCTCTCAGGCCCTCATTCTAGAAGTTCAACAATTGTTAAACTATATAACTTGTCTGTAGTTTCATACATCTTGAAGAGTACCACAGCAATTTATCAGTTTTTTTCAGGCACACTTCTGTCCTGTGTGAAACAAGAGGCCAAAAATACAATAATTTACAATCAAAATAAATATCTGTCATTATGACCCATATTTTCCACTTCACTTTCTTTGATTAGACTTCCTACAGCATATTTCTAACAAAGTAGGAATCGTGGTACATTGTATGTTTTACGAACATTTTCTGGTTTTGTCTTCAGTTCCAAAAGATGAGTCTGGCGGTAGAGCTTGGGGGCGGGATGCCACTTCTGATGGAGACTCGTCCCCAGGGGCGGGGCGACGAGGCTGTTCTAACACATAAGGACACCATCGTCATGAACTGTGGCCCGGACGCTGGGCCGGCAAACGAGTGGACAGAATGGTACAAATATATGGAGAAGTTACTGGATAGGTAATATTATCCATAAGTTTCTTTGTTCAGACGTCAAATCAACACAATGAGGTCATACATGTTGAAATTTAGATGTCGGAAGTGTTAAGATAAATGTTGGAAGTGTTAAGATAAGTGTTAAGATAAGAGTTTAGATAAATGTTGAAAGTGTTAAGATAAGTGTTAAGATAAATGTTGGAAGTGTTAAAATAAATGTCGGAAATGTTAACATAAGTGTTAAGATAAATGTCGGAAGTGTTAAGATAAGTGTTAAGATAAATGTTGGAAGTGTTAAGAGAGGCACTGTTGTTCCTTGTTACATCTGATAATATCACATTTCCTTTGTACCTACGCAGCAAAACTGTAAAAGCCAATAACAGCGAGAACCATTTCACGTGAATGTCTTCCAATCGGAAATTGTGCAGGAATTTCTGTCAAATTGTTTGAGTATTGGGGACCAATCATGATCACTTGACATCAAATTCAAATTATGACGGAAATTCACAAGTGGTTTCCGATTGATGGAACTGCAGGCTATCTTGTTTCCCACAAAAAATACTCTTCTGCTATTTGTTAAAACGTTTTGTTTAAAATGTATTTAGAAATAAATTATACCACAAAGAATGATAAAATAATATTGTGAAGATAAATGCATGTTTGACTGCTCATCATGAAATATGTTTGAACGGAACTGTGTTGCATACCATCATGAATGTTAAAAGGTGTTTTTCAATCTTTAAATAATGACTGCAATGTAATGTCTTGATTGACGCATGCAATGATTTATACAGTATGGTTTTCATATATATATCAGACACAAAAGACACATGAGTCAAGATGCAGAGCTAGGATTGGCTGTGTTACACTGTGATACAGAACAATACTGTAATCCTTGTGTAGACTTTGGTAAGTTGTGTGTCACAAACCTCTGTGTTTATTCTGGTAACCTTTGTTGTCACAAACCCCTGTGTAGACTATGGTAAATTGTGTGTCACAAACCCCTGTGTAGACGTTGGTAAGTTGTGTGTGACAATACCCTGTGTAGACATTGGTAAGTTGTGTGTCACAAACCTCTGTGTTTATTCTGGTAACCTTTGTTGTCACAAACCCCTGTGTAGACTATGGTAAATTGTGTGTCACAAACCCCTGTGTAGACGTTGGTAAGTTGTGTGTCACAAACCCCTGTTTATTTCGATAAATTTGTGTCAGAAACCCTTTTTGTTGATTTTGGTAAGTTGTGTGTCACAAAGCGCTATGTTGATTTTGGTAAGTTGTGTTGTAACAAATAAAGTCCTGTGTTGACTTTTGTTAGTTGTGTTACACAAACCCCTGTGTTTATTAGCTCACCTGGCACAAAGTGCTAAGTGAGCTTATGCCGTGGCGCGGCGTCCGGCGTCCGTCCGGCGTCAATATTTTACTTTAAACGACTTCTTCTTAATAACCGAAAGGCCTAGGGTGTCGATATTTGGCCAGAAGCACACTTGGATGAAGGGCTACAAAGTTTGTTAAAATTAATGACCTTCACCTATTTTCAAGGTCACAGGGGTCAAATATGTCAAAAACTTTAAACATCTTCTTCTCAATAACCAAAATGCCCAGGGAGATGATATTTGGCCAGTAGCATGCTTGGGTGAAGGGCTA